AGCAGTGACTTCTCACAGCGATCTGCCAGGCAGAGCCTTAGCTCCTCTCCAGGCGAGGAAATGGCTCAGCGAGGTCAGGAGCCGTGAGGCCCGCCCACGGCCCACAGCCAGGCCCTTGACCCCTGTCCCAGGCTTTTCCTCCAGTCGGCAAGGCGCGAGTCCTCGGCCAATGCGACTGACTGCCCGGCCCCGGGGAGCTCAACCCGCTGTCCTGGGCGTGGGGCCAGCCTGGCTCCTCGCCTCTGAATTCCTTTGGGGCCGCAGCCAACCCCGCGGAGGCGGCTCGTTTGTGCCTAAGCCAAGTTCATCTGCCCGCCCAGCCCCGCAGACCAGAGAGGACTCCAGGACACCACAGGGGCCACGGAGCCGCAGGCGCCCAGGAGGGTCCGCCCGGCCTTCCTCCTGCAGGAAGCCCTCCCTGCCTGACTCCCTGGGCAAGGTCCGTGGGACGCCCGCGGGCACATGGAGCCCCCCCCCCGCCAACACGCCTGCTCCTTCTGCCCGCCGCCCCCTCTCATGCTCACAAACCCCGAGTTTGCCAGAAGCCTCCATCTGTCATCACTTAGGTTTGTGCCACTGACACCAATTAACCTTCACTCCGTGCAAAGCACCCTTAGCTCCTGGCCGCCGTCACTGTCCAACGAGCCAGTGACAGACACCACTGCTCTCCCATTTCACAGATGAGAAAACCGAGGCGAGAGAGCTTAGGGGACGGGCAGGGTCTTGCCGTGGGAAGTAGGGGAGCTGGGACCCATCCCTGCGCAGCTGGCGTGGGGAACAGCACTGGGTCCCAGCGCTGGCCCTGCCCACGGCGAGCCACGGGGGCTAAGCATACAGAAGGGCAGGTGGGCACTGCTCCCCCACCTGCGCCCCTGCCCTGCACCTGGGGTTCACTCCAGGGTCGAGCTGGGCGCACTCCGGCTCCTGCTCACTCAGCGTGATGCTCGGTGTGGCCATGTGGGCAGCTCTGTTTGTCCCCAAGAGGCTGGGGTCTCCCCCAGGCCCCTCACACATGAACTTGGAGGCAAGGACAGGGACCTGGCTTTGGGCGGGGTGGATGGGGTGGGGCTGCAGGGGCAGCACAGGTCATGGAGGGTCCCCCAGGCTGGCAAGGAGATGAGCCATACCCTCCAGATGACACACACACAGTGCATGGCCACTGACCACAGATAGCCACGCGCCGACCAGGCTATCAACACA